CACGGACAGGAGGATGGGGAAACACACCAAGGCGGGGAACACCCCCAGACCACCGGGGACCCGCCAGGTGAGCCAAAACCCCTCCATGCGGCAGTACTTGTCCGCGACGCCGGACCCGTTTTCCCAGGCGTCATCTGAGGCCTACCTGCCATCTGAGGCCTCCACGCCACACTCCCTCTCCCCAGCCCGGGAGGACACAGGGGAAACCCCCCCTGCAGACTGGATGGCCCTGCTAAGGGCTCTACCCATGCGGGCAGACCTCACCCAAGCCACCTCAGCCCTCCAGTCCTCTATCAAGTCAGACCTGCAGCTGATGAGGGCAGACATTCAGGGGATGGCAGACCGCATGGCCCAAATAGAAGCAGATCACGACGCCCTCACTGCGACACAAACGGCACAAGCCACAAACTACTCTAAAAGATCTGCCCAAATGCAAGCCATGGCCAGACATATAGAAGACCTGGACAATAGAGGCCGCAGACAGAACCTACGAGTAAGAGGCCTACAAGAAGGTGAAGACTCACCCGCCCAGCTTAAAGTCACACTCACCGCCATCTTCAACGAGCTCCTGAGCCGCCCCAGAGAGACCCCCATAGAGTTCATCAGAGCCCATAGAGCACTGAGACCCAGGGGCCCACCAGAGGCTCCACCTAGGGACGTGATCTGCTGTCTAGCACTTTACGCCTTGAAGGAGGAAATTCTGTATGCAGCACGCAACAAGGGAGAAATCACCCATGAAGGCTCACATCTCCAACTGTACCCGGACCTATGCCCAGCTACCTTGGGATATCGCAGGGCACTAAAACCGCTCACCAGAATGCTAGTGGCCCAGAAAATAAGATACCGCTGGACATTCCCCACAGGCCTGATCGCCACCACCCAAAACGGCCCCAGACCGATCCGCACCCCACAGGACCTACAGGAATTGTCAGAAGATCTCCACTTGCCACCCCTTAATCTGACCTGGCCAGATCCACTGGATTTCTACAACAGCCCACCTACACCCCAGGGGGAACCTGCACCGACACAGCGCAGACACCGAACAAGACTGGAGACCGTGAGGCCAGCAGGGGCAACACGTTAACGGACATACAAGACAGGAGCCACGCATGGAACTCGTAACTATGCACTGGGACACTCCGCACGTAGGCCTACACCACACATGGGCCACACACTTAGCCGTTAAAACACTCAGACACCCACGTGCCATGGGAGGGTGGGGGGACCATCAGAAGTGGGCATACGAGACATTTTGCAAGCACAATCGAGGAACCCACGAAAGAAACACTGAGGACTCTGGGTATATTGGGGGGGAAGATGTATGGGGTGGTTTTGCCCTTCCTCTCTGCTTTCACCTTCCTCCAGGGGGGTTTTTTCTTTTCTTGTTTTCCCTCTTTCCCGTTTGGGTGGGGGGATTTGGGAAAGGGGAGGCTGAGGCTGAATAAAGGCTCGCTCCAGACCAACAGAGAGAGAGACCAACAGAGAGAGGGAGCGGAGGTTACCAGGGAGGGCTAGTACTATGAGAAGGGACAGGCCCCCAATGCCAACCGGACCCCCAGAACACCACGGCAAGGGGAGGGACATGAAATGGGAGGTGTAAGGCCAGCTAGTTATACACCTTAAAGCCACACACCTACAAGCCACAACACGGCAACATAACTCACCACCCGGCAAAGGAGATCTAGGGGCACAGGGGAGAGACTAACAGGGTAAAGCCAATCAAACGAGCACGCACTCGAACACACACCTGGGAGATAGGGAAAGGGCCGGGATGGGCTGGGCCCAGGGGCTGCCAGCACCACCTGTACTGATTATATAGCTTCCGAGCAGAGGGGGCCGGGGGACACTGGAGAACTAGAAAGGAGAAGGATCCACCACTATTGGCCCTACGGGGTGAGGGAGTTAGAGGGCCACGTTCCCGGTAGACAGGGGCACCAAGATACCGGCGGGAGGACTCAGCGGTGCCGACAGGTGCTGCACAGCTGACTCCTACCTAGCCCACACCCTAGTCTTTTTTGGAAAACCCACACAGTTTATTATTGTTGTTTATTACTGTTACATTTGTTACGAATTGTTGAAAGCCGCGCCCGCCCGCGGGACCCAGGGGGACCCACCCCCGACTTCAGACCCGCACTTGAGGAGCAAACCAAACCCTCTAGCACCCACCCATACTCCCCAACCCTCCCCACCATACCCTGATTCTCCTGAAACATAGCAAACATGCCACGTCACAACACACACAAACAAGCGGAGATTAAATTCCTCTCCATCAACGCTAAAGGCATGAACATACCCGAAAAACGCTCGCATGCCCTACGTCACTTCCACAGTCAAAAGTCACAGGTAGTCTTCATTCAAGAGACACACTTTAAAGAGGGCCACGTGCCCAGACTGACGGACAAACATTACGCACAATGTTTCCTGAGCAATAACCCAGAGGGAAAGTCCAAAGGCACAGCAATCCTGATCCATAGATCGCTACATTTTGCCCCCACTGACACACTGCGAGACAGCCACGGACGGTATATATGTGTCAAAGGCACAATTGCAGGCCGCACATACACGTTCGCAAACCTATATACCCCCAATAAACGCCAACACCAATTTTTACGAACAGCACTTAGAACAATAGAGGGCTTCGCGGAGGGCTGTCTGGTCGTTGGAGGGGACCTCAATGTGGCCCTGACGCCGACCATAGACACATCCATAGGCCTCTCTACGACACCCCAGCATATCTTAACAAACATATCAAAAACGCTGCGAGAGAAGCGTCTGGTAGACTGCTGGAGAGCTTTACACCCTGAAGACCGAGACTACACTTTCTATTCTATCCCCCACAAAACGTACTCTAGAATAGACTACTTCCTCATTCCACATTACTACCTGACTGAGGTTCGACGAACGGACATTGGAACAGCGACATGGTCAGACCATGCTCCAATTACGATGACACTAACCTCCCCACTCTATAGGCCCACCTGCAGTAACTGGAGACTGAACGAATCGATCTTAAATGACCTTACAGTGACGACAGAAGCCAGGGAAAGACTTACGCAATACTTTACAGAAAACGATACGTCTGAGGTCACGCCTCTATGCCTATGGGAGGCTCATAAAAGCGTAATGAGAGGCCACTTCATAGCGAAAAGCGCCGCGCTTAAAAAAGCCAAATCTGCCAGACTTAAAACACTAATTCAGGACATACAGACTTTGGAATGTAGACACAAACAAACCCACCTGATAGCAGACTGGACACAGCTAACGGTACTCAGGAGGGAACTCTCCTCTATCCTGAATGCCAATCACCATAGAGCATACTTACACTCCAAAGCGTTCTTTTACACCAATGCTAACAAATGTGGTGCCCTCCTTGCCCGCATGATCGCCAAAAAGAGAGCAGCGGCCTACATCCCGGGGATCAGAGACAGAGATGGGAAGCTGCACAGTATGCCGACCGAGATGGCCAACACCATTAGGGCGTACTATGCGGACCTCTATTCCCTCGACCCGCCAAGGGGACAGGGAGCGGACACAGAAAGGAAGACGCGGATAACAGACTACCTAGAACTGCGCATTGGCAACTGCCTCTCACAGGAGGCAAGTACAGAGCTAGACGAACCGATCGAGACGCACGAGGTAGCATGGGCTCTCAAAACGGCCAAGACGGGCAAGAGCCCCGGACCGGACGGCCTACCAGCACGCTACTACAAAACCTTTGCGGAACTTCTCGTCCCACGCCTCACGACGGCACTCAATGCGATCCGAGACGGGCAGATATTCCCGACACAGACCCTGGCGGCCAACATCATCCTAATCCCTAAAGACGGGAAAGATCCTGAACATTGTGCGAACTATCGCCCCATCTCACTGTTAAATAACGACTTGAAGCTTTTTACGAAGATACTCGCACAGAGACTGCAGGCACACCTCCCGAACTTGATTCATAAGGACCAGGTGGGATTTACCCCGCACCGAGAAGCGCGCGATAACACGATCAGGGCACATTCCCTGATCCACCTCGCAAAAACTAGACAGGAGGGCCTTCTCCTGCTCTCCACGGACGCGGAGAAGGCCTTCGACAGGATTGCATGGGACTTTATGTTCCAGGTCCTCGACAAACTGGGGATGGGGCCTCACATGATGTCCTGGATCAGGGCCTTGTACTCACAACCAACAGCACGGATCTGCATAAATGGAGCCTTCACAGACCCCTTCGTGATCAGGAATGGAACCAGACAAGGCTGCCCCCTCTCCCCCCTGCTCTTTGTGCTAGCCCTGGAACCATTCCTGAACTCGATCCGAAACAACCCGGATATCCCGGGATTGAAGACAGGAGCGGGGAAACACGCAGTGGCAGCATATGCGGACGACCTACTGTTCTTCGTAACTAAGCCGGAAACATCCATGCCCACGATAATGAAGGAATTCGAACAATACGGGGAGCTCTCGAACTTTAAAATCAATTTTTCCAAATCCACGATCCTCAATGTCTCCGTCTCGAAGTCCAGAGCGACGGCCCTCAAACGAGCACTGCCATTCCAATGGTCTGCCACCTCCCTAAAATACCTCGGCGCGGTGCTAACAAACGACCTCGCCCAACTGTACGCAGCGAATTTCCAACCATTCCTGACCACTATACAGAAGGACTTGCAGGAATGGGACCAGGTGCGCCTCTCATGGTTTGGAAGAGTGGGAGTGCTCAAGATGAACATCCTACCGAGGATCCTCTACCTGTTTCAAGCTATCCCCGCGACCATACCGGAGGCATTTTTTACCTCCCTTAGATCGATGGCCCTCCGGTTCACATGGCAGAGACAGAAGGCCAGGATACAACAGGACGTGCTCACACTACCGAAGGTCAAGGGAGGCCTAGCTCTGCCAGATTTTAAGAGATACCATAGAGCCACACACATCCAAAGGATAGTGGAGTGGTCTAAACAGGGAGTGGAGAAACTCTGGAAAGATGTGGAGTCTTCCCTGGTGGAGAGACCGATGGCAGTCCTCCCTTGGCTGGACCCCCAACAAAGTAGGCAGCTAGCTGCTCCACACCCCCTAATCAAAGCGACCGTACGGGTATGGCAAGCTCTGGCGGTACCACTCTCGCTCACCTCCACGCCATCCCCAATGATGCCTCTAATCCATAATGAGGTCTTCCCGCCAGGAAGGGAACCAAGAACGTTGGTCCAGCTGCTGGGACAAGACATACCGAGGCTCTTCCACGCCATAGACAACGGCCGCATCAAATCACTAGAGACCATGACGGGGAACTCCAATCACCCATTCATGCTCCAATTCAGATACCGACAACTGAAAGGGCTCATACAAGAAACCACCCGAAACAATCACACTCTCAGACCCTTAACAACGTTTGAAGAGATATGCATGGACCCGGACCCGTTGCCGAGGGGCCTGTCAACGCTCTATGGAATGATCATGCGGTTGAGGAGGCTGCCACCCCCAAGCTTCATGGGGAAATGGGAAACAGTTTTAGGCACTACATTCACACCCAACCAATGGGACAAAATTTGCACCCTCTCACTACACTGCGCACCATCTAGCGGAACGCAAGAAACAGCATATAAAATACTGGCCCTTTGGTACCGCACCCCACTCCACACACACCTATACGACCCCACGAAGGACGACGTATGCTGGAGGTGCAACACGCACAAGGGAACATACCTCCACATATGGTGGGAATGTCCAATCATCCAACCATACTGGTCAACCATCCACACGATCATCAAAAGATTCACAGACTCCCCACCACCCATGAACCCCGCAACATTCCTCATCCATCACACCAAGACGAAAGCATCAACATATAAAAAATCCTTAACAATACGGATACTTAATGTAGCCAAAAGCCTAATCCCCCTCTACTGGAAAAAACAATGTGCGCCCCCGCTGGGGACGTGGTACCAAAAAATGGAGGAGCTGAGAGCTCTGGAAGAGCTCTCCCTGCTGGCAGAGGGGAGGACCCAGACGTACATGACGATCTGGACACACTGGATACTGACCTCGACTAACACTGACTTCCAGGACCTGCTGACGTGACTGCAGACACCTGAAGGGACAAACGACCACCTTGACTGAGGGAGTGACTACACAAACAAACAGGGAAAACACCAGAATCAACATCATAATAAATAAAACACCCCCTCCCCCTCCAATCCCCCCCCACCGGTCCCCCCCTGGGGGAACCCGCGGACGGAAGGCGACAAAGTAGAGAAGTTCATAAGACGTAGAGGCTCCAGACGGAGGGGCACCCTCTAAGCAAAGAAGGGAAGAGAGGGGAAAGATAAGGGTAGCAAAGGGGGAAGGAAAAGAACAAGAAGGGGAAAGCCAAGAGTAAAAAGAGAGAATAAGAAAGGAGGGAAAGGAAAGGGAAAGGTGTAAGGAAGTCAAGAATGAAGGAGACAAAGAGAATCAGACAGGAAAAACAGGAAAAGGGACAGGGGTTCACAGTTAAGGATAAGACAAGGAGAAACAAGCCTAACTTTGCACTCACGCCAAAGGCGGGAGTTAAAGACGGTACAAACCACCTCCACCCCAGCCAGATCAACAGGGGTATACCCCACTGTCACCAAAGATCTGAGAACTGAACGCGCAAGGCACACACAACACCCGGTTTCCCCCCCATACGGTTGGTCAACACACACCACCTGCCTAGACACAAGACACCAACCACCTTTGTCACACTGGGTGATATACTATAGCCACAACAACCGTACGAGAGAGGGAAAACCCCATCCACACAAAGGTTTATAGGACCCATGAGCCCAACTAGTATACGTCTTTAAACTGTTTGATGACTTGCATGTCACTATGTTGTTCACAATAACTATCTCATGTCTGAGACATGAAATGGGAAAGCCTTTATTGGACCTGCGTGTCTGCGACAATGTTTTTTCTTTTTCTGCATAAAATGAAAATTCCTTGAATAAAATAAATTTACAAAAAAAAAAATTAAACTGTTCTGTGGCTGTTAATAACAATGTTTTTTCACTTTAACAACTTCACTACCAAGCAGTTTGAAAAAAACAAAAAAAAACACCTGTATTTTGGGTGTCATGGAAACAGTGCTTTGTCTTTACAAATGTAATAACATGGTAGTAACATTGGTACTGACTGAGCGCTACATTTCTCTATAGTCACGGGGTAGATTGTGTGTTAGAAGGCTGTATATTCTGTCCAGCCTTTCCACAAATTGCAGACCGTTTTTGTTTTGTTTGTTTGTTTACAGAACTTCCCTACTGCTTACCTTTTCCGCAGTGAGCGGGACTTTAATAATCTATATTCCCTAATGGTCCATCAGTGGGCCACCAGATGGATCTACACCTCTGGCTGGGTGAAGACCCCTCTGAATGCCTCCAAGTGGCAGCGTGAAGGGGTTAACAATCCAAATGTTAGCTGTTCTTCCCAATACTTGTGGGAGTTATTTTTTCATGATAGCTGGGAATCTCACTTATTTTTCTTGGGAATTTTCTACATGAATTGCTCATGTTTGCATTTTCTGAAGAATTTCGTCTTAAACAGCTAAATGTATCCTATCCCTTATCGTATATCTTGGTCACTGCTAATATTTTTTGTATAAACGTCTGACATTGTTCAAAGGAGGAAATGTGATAATTAATATGAAAAATTTAGCTTTTTTCTTTCAATCATTCCTCTCCCCTTCCAACCCAATTGTTATATCTTTAGTATAGTTTTTTCATTTAGGGAAAAACTCAAGGGATTCTGCACAATTCCAACTTTCCATCGGTTTTTGTTATCCTTAAAAGTGCAGAATTTTTCTTACAAGTAGACAGATGCCAAGGATAAATTCCTTTGAATTTCTACAACATTGTGACATAGAGTGATCTTTCCCATTTCTTAACCCTTTCACTAACAAGCGGTTTGCAAAATAACCCCCTCAGAAACAGAGTATTTTGGGTGTCCTGGAAAATAATGTTTTTTTTTATGTATTCTTCATTTCAGAATGCATATATAGCATGTGAAAACAAAAAACAAAAATGCTGGCTGTGCAGAAAAACTTTAAAACAATCGTACCAAATAATGAAGAAGATATATATCAGAGACAACCCCTGGATATTGGGCTAAGGTATCCCCAGGACGTACTTGAAAACCAGAGTAATCTGAATGTACCTTTCCTGGTTAAATACTTTGTTATTATTATTATGATGTGCACAGCTGAAAAACGTGTTGGTTTCATTCCAATTCGTTAATTTTTTAATTTTGGTTCATCTGGAATGAAAGATAATACGGAAAAATGTTTGTTAATTTTTCAAAATTCGGATACTGTTATTTCAAAGGATGCCAAATTAGGATGTTGTTTAGCAAATAGCTCCTGCAGCTGTTTAGTAGATAATTTACTAATTTGGTGGCGTGATGTGGGATTAAGGATACTAAATTAGGAAGCAATCTACTAAGCAGCTGAAACAGCAATATTAAGAAAAAGACTGTTTTTCTTAATTTTGTTTCTTCAGTTGCTTAGTAGATAAGTCCCTAATTTGCTATCCTTGTGGAAATAACTCTATCTGAAATAATTTGTTTCAACTTGTTCCGAATGTATTATTTTTTGGTTAATTTGATTTTATAAAGAATTCAGAAGTTCAAAAGTTTCCAAACTGGCAAATGTATCCAAATTCAATTTCAGAATGCAAAACAAATTGTACGTCTCATGTATATATATCCCCATGTATATTGTATATATTACCATACTGTACATGTTACCAATTTCCCACATTTCCCATATCATATCACCCTCACATGGCAACCATGTTGCAACTTTGAAGACACACACACAAATACATGCACACATACAGATTCTTATACATACACACTGACATACAGAGGCAAACAATGACACACAGACACACACATTTAAAGATAGACATGCACAAGCGTAGTATGTGTCTGGCAGTGTGTATTGTTACCTATGTGCATGTCTGGCATTGTGTAGTGTGTACGTGCCTGTGAGTGTGTGTCTGGCAGTGTATGTCTGACAGTGTATATCCTTGTGTGTCTGTGAGTGTATATATCTGTGTGTATGTGTACCTGTGATTGTGCCTGGAATGCATATTTGTGTCTGTGTATCTCTGTGTCTGGAAGTATATGTGTGTGGGAAAGTTGCTTGCAGTGTGTTGTGTGCATTGAGGCTGCTTGAGGTATTGATGTGTGTGTGTGTTGTGTTTATAGAGAGGCTGTTTTGTGTGTGTGAGTGGTGACGGTGTGAGTATGAGGGTTTTCGTCTCTTAGGAGAAGATTAAATAGGTATGAGGGTTACTTTGTGTGTAGAAGGGTGACTGTGTGTTTATGTGTGACAGGATGACTGTGTGTGAGGGGTGAGTTTGGTGGGGTGATTTCCCTGGTGGTCTGGTGGGTGCTCTGGGAGAGAGAATTTGCAGAGAGCTGCTCCTAGCTGGAGATGGTGCCTGTACGGTAAAGAGCGCAGGAAGATCTGTAGATCTCCCCACTGGGCTGTGTAGCTGCAGGGGCCCTATAACAGTAGCACTAACTTTGCTGTCATGACATCCATTGCAAACTAAATTGATTTACAATAAACAAATGTTATTTCCAATGTTTTTTACATTTAATTTGCTGTATAGCCTTGCAATCGTGTATATACGATTGGCGACGTGAGGGGGTTTAAGCAGTATATCTAGAAAGTCCTCACATTCCATCACTCTGATTTATATGGGTCTGGGGATAATATAGTTTGACCTAATTTAAAAAAAGTCTTAGAGGTAGACCACTAGATACATGGGGACAAATAGCTGCACACCATGTTTCCAAGCTGCAACACAAAAACACAATGGAAAATTAGTCATTTAAATCTGTGTGTAATCATTTTGACCCAAGTTAGATATATCGTGATACTGGCCTTCAATCTATCAATTTTATTCACAGAAATACAGCTCATTAAATATCTTATCTTCAATTTGAATAAGAAAATGCTGTTTGTTACTCTTATCCAGAGCAGTTTCCGCACACTTTGCACCTTTTTCTTGTGTAAAAGAACTATATGTGAATGTATCACACTGGTGCAGGAAGTTTTGAGAAACTGTGGGCTGGCCATAGTGGTTTTAGTCGGAAATCTTTTGTGTATGAGGAACCTGAACATATTACTATAAATCTCATTGTGAAGACGAGGAGAGCTGATCCTACATACATACAATGGGACTTTACTTAATGGCCATGTCTCAGATACTCTGCATTTTCCTCTTTATGGGAACAATTACACAAGGTAACATTATTTAATTGCTGAATACTGATTACAAAATATTACTTTAAAAATTATATGTAACTCACTTGTAAATGTGTGTGTTGCTTATATAAGTATTGAAATAGAATATACTTATACCAGGTTAGTTGAATGTTATATAAGAGAACCCATGAGATAGATAGATATTTTAATAAGTGTTATTTGTTATCTGTAGTCCTTTGGAAATATATTTTTGTGTGCGTGCGTGCGTGCGTGCGTGCGTGCGTGCGTGCGTGCGTGCATGCGAGTGTGTGTATATGAGCATCTAACAAAAAAATTCTAATTTTGCAAAAAAGGTATCTGTGTAAAGAATGGAAATATGATTAATTATATGATGCAGCTATAGGAATTATCGCAGGCATTTTCTCATGAACAAGTAGTGCAATGTTCATATACTTTTTATATATTTTATATGCTTCTTTGTACAGAACAAAATATAAAAGTTAAAAAAACTTATTTATAAAGTGATTTACCAGGAAGAACACACTGAGATTTAATATTTAAGACTCAGTAAGTAAATATATACAATTGAGCTAATTAAATGCAAAATACAAACTCTAAGATGTTTTTGTGAAGATTTTATTCCAATTAAACCTTTTATTTAAATAAGTATTTCCAAATAATACTCATGTCCCTAACGGTCCTATGGTGACCAAGCCTTTGGTTAAAAATGCCTGCGTATTAGATAGATGGAACAAAGACATGGGTGTAGTAAGCAGAGGTGATGGGGGATTAATGCTCCCCCCCCCCCAAATAATCCAGTGGCACTGATGAGAGGAGTAAGGTTTCCCCCAGTAATTATAATGTAGCTTTTAAAAATCATATATTTTACTTTTTAGCATATTTTAAAGGTGCTTCTCCACATTGTTTTCTAAAACAAATAGATTTCAACATGACAGTGGACAAATCAGTAGATAAATACATTTATTGAATAATTAAATGTTGGTTTTTTTGGAAGTAAAATATTTATAAACATATTAAAAAGGTGAGGTCAGGTAGCTCTAACGGGTCCATAACCCATTTTATTAATAACCTCACCAGTGATAGTCTATGATAGTCTTTACACAGAGAAAATCTAGAAAATGATTTGGTTTGGTTCCGAAATTAATGAGTAAAGAGAGTCCATACCATGCAAATAGTAGAGTATTTTATGGAGGGGAGAAAAGGATACTGGCAGTACAGAATATAGAAATGGGTGATTTATATCCCCAGACCAGTTGATTTTAATCAGAAGCTTATTTAGTAGAAATGGCTTAAATTGGGCAAGTCCGATTTTTTTTTTTTTTATTTTTTTTAAATACATTTTAAAAGATGACATGTAACAGTTCCATGGGGAATTTAGCTTAAACCCTTTACTACCAAGTGGTCTGGGGTGGGGGGAAAACACCCCCACAATCTGAGTGTTTTGAGTGTCCTGGAAAGTAACATTTAGTTTACTTGTATTTACATTTACTTCTATTTTTTGTTTCAGTAGAAAAGAAATAAGATTTTTGTGGGGGCGAGTGTGGCAGGGTGAGAGTATGGTCGGTGACTATGATTGACAGAGTGCGTTGGAGAGTACATTGTGTGCGTTGGAGAGTACATTGTGTGCGTTGGAGAGTACATTGCGTGCGAGGAAGCTGTATTTTTATTTCCAGCTTCCCCACACATTTCAGCATGTTTTCTTTATATTTGTTATTATTATTATTGGTATTTATATAGCGCTAACTTATTCCGCAGCATTTTGCAATATTATGAAAGGGGGAAATTTAACAATAAATGAGACCTTTACAAAATGATACACACAATAAGTAGATTTGGACCCTGCTCAAATCAAACAGGCTTACAGTCATATCATTTTATATATATATATATATATATATATATATATTTAGTTGAGCCTCTACAAATCAAACTCTCTGAATGCCCCTTTCTGATCTTGGACAAGGAGGGCGAATCTAAGGGAACTGCTCCTAGCCGGAGTTGTAGCCTGCATAGAGAGCAGCGCAGGGCCCTGTTAGGAGATCTGTAGATCCCCCTACTAACTCACGCAGCTGTAGGGGGGGGGATGGATCAGCAAAACTGGTGCTAAAATAATGGCTCCGCTCCTCCTCGCAGATGTTGCAATAAACAGATTTCATTTAAAATAGTTTAGCTCATGTATTTTAATATTTTAGAATTCCTTGTTAAAAACATACATTTTGCTTAAAGAAACAAACGAACCAGAAACCCCAACAAAAAAGCAGTTTTGGCTAGCAGTAATCTATCTATGATACCATCTTAAAGTGGTGACACTATGGTGACTTCGCCTCTTGGTGTGCAGTGGAGGTAAGATAAGCATACTTGATGTTGTCCTCTGTGTGTGCCACCATCTTTTTTCTTCAGCGATTGGTGTTTCGTCTGTCTGGTGTTTTCATCTATCAGCCAATGGATGTGTACTATTACAATCTTCTAATGAACTATATAGTAATAATATAAAGAAATTTAGTTTGAGTGATGCAACCATCTTGTGTTATTATGTGCTAGGTTTGTTAGAAACAACATACACCCTGGGGATAAAAAAGGGGAAAAGAAAGAGAAAAGGTTTAATTGTTTCCGTCTGAGTCCAGATTGTTATAAGAAAGACATTATCAAAATACTGAAATATTTGGAGTCAAATAAGATTCAGCTCAGCTACATTGAGCTATGTTTTTGAGTCTGATCTGAAATGCCAACTCTTACATAATTCAGACCTCTTCCACTTCCTACCCTACGTCTTTCAAAACTAGAGGATGGCTGGTTTCCCATTACGTAGGAATTAACCCCTACATAACCATTTGCTTTAATACAGAAATAGGTCGTCTACAAGATATTAAAATTAGGGCACTAGGAAAGGGAAACTACCTGCTTCTAGCAATAGCACCAATGGGTTTCATTGACCAAATGGAAGTCCCTGCTGATGAATAGGTCACTAGGGGACCCGACAGCCAAGAACATACTGCACATGTAGTGGTTTCCAAAGGTCAGAAACCAGTCAGGTAAAGGGACGATGTAGTTATAGTCTTAATTATTTACACAATTTCTTTCCAGTTTTCGAGTCTCCCTTGGCTCTGCTGCACGTGATGTCATCATGGTTATACCATTATAATGCAATGATAGTCCTGATTTGTTAGGGGATAGACAGCCCCAAAAATACAAAGCTCTCTGTTTAGAAAAGCCTTAGTTGTGATTGAGCCTATTAAGCTTGATATTCATGTTGGAGACCTGGTTTTCACTCAATAACATTTTCTGACTTTGGGGGTTTCACTAGTAAAACTGTGCATGGCATTTGATTTTGAAAGCTGAATAGGAGCAAGGGTTCCACAAGTCAGTTGAACATTTTAAACATAACTCTCACCTGCTGATATATTATCTTGTATCATAACGATCAAGATTGGCTCTCATGATGCAAGTGTCTTATCAGCTTGATTTTAGATTTTATAGAACCTTCAAGTTTTTAGGGGAAAGAGTGAAATGTGACAGCTTCGTAGTGTGATAACTAGAACTACTATCTGATAACGACACTTAGCAATCTCCCCTGTTTGTGGAAAGCAGATAAAGAGCAGTTACATGAGATTAGAAATTAAAATACATGGGCTTAAAGGGGCAGTGTAACGTATCAGAAGAAAATTGATTTTGAGTAGTTAAAAAATGCTGATTTTTTTTTTTTGGAAAAAGTATTTTTCTTCCTAAATTGTGTAATAAGACTTTGTGTCTTTGGAATTTTTTTTAATAGGCTAAGGTTCAGGCACCAAGTATACAATGCAGGATTTTTTGAGGGGGATGAGTTGTTCACTAAATGTACAATCACATCATGTATAATCATAGGGAAATAATAAAGAAATTACCATTAGCTTTTCCTTATATTTGGTGTGTAATGGAAATATAGACTGGTAGAGGATGTTTTCAAAAATATAGTTCAATATCATTCATCAATAACAAACAATCTGCATTCTTGTATATTACATTCGAGTAATAGCAAGCTAATGTTGACTATTAGATTAGATTATTCATTTCAATGTATCTTTATACTTATTCTGATGGATAATCCAGTTGAGTAAATTTAATTTTGCCTTATCATAGTCACTAACAGAGAGACCCACAAATTGAAGCTATTTTCTCTATTTGGCAAGTTATCTAATGGATAATAATTACTGCCACAATGAAAGGCTATGAATTGGAGATTTCACAATGAGCCCACAAAAAGTCCAACAAAATCTTCTCAACTTTAATGTTAACCCCTTAAGGACACATGACATGTCTGACATGTCAGGATTCCCTTTTATTCCAGGGGTTAAGGATCAAACTTCTGGAATAAAAGGGAATCATGACATGTCACACATGTCATGTGTCCTTAAGGGGTTAAAACTACCACCAAGTTACCTTTATTGAATGCATAATTAAGTGTTGTAAAATCTATGTAGTTGCTATACTGGTGTTAGTCTTTTTGTTAGTGTTGCATTACATAGAACAGCATGTACAGATGGACACATGTGGCAGAACCAACCTCGCCACTGGGCATTGGAGAAGCCTGTTTGCCTGCCTTCTGACTATGGCCCCTGGGAGACTTTGCCCTGTGTAAGCATTATTTGGGCTTGTTGGATTTTGAAACACTTTTTCTGACCATTGAAGACATGAGGAGTGCCCCTCCCTCGTTTCCTGTCTATTGTTCTCCAGCAGGGCATTGTCCCTTGGACACTACCAGACCAGTTGGAACTTGTTGCTAAACTTTAACTCCATGATGATTTTACTGTGTTTGTGGGATCTGAGCGCTGTTCAGATATAGTGAGCGCTCAGATCCAAGCTATCTGGGGATAGGTTGAATGTGGGGGTTCTGTTCAGTATGATAGGAATGATGTATTTTTGTGTGTTTTTGCTGTTGTTGTAAATGGAGATATTTTCTGTATGCTGGAGATAGTTGGCTTACCACACCCAAGACATACTTGCAGTCTTTCAAATAGGTCTTCCATCTATCTTTTGAACCACTGGACCAATTTGTATGATTCTGGCACATGTTTGTATTTGGAGTATGCTGAAAATGTAAGTTTTATGTGAATGTGATGTATACTTTTAAAGTTATGAATATTGTGCAAAACTGTGTATTTTTCTGCCTGTGATATTTACTTTAGCCTATTGTGTTCAGTAATTGTATCACAGGCAGAGGGGAGGATTTCTGCTGGTACGAATGGGAGTGTTTAGCTGTGTTGTAATGTATTGATTGGTGTGTTCTTCAAAACCCTGTGGGCGGTACTATGTTTGTAAAATGGGCATAAAAGCAGAGTGTTTGATTAAAAACTTCAGTTCTACGTCACCCTCAATTTGGAGTGCCGTCTCTTATTGGGGGAATCTGCTAAAAGGGATTGCTATGCTAGGCTTACTCCCTTGCTATAGTCTCTCCTAAGCTCTTTTAAGAGCTTGTTCCTGTTTTGCTCTCTGAAGGAGTCTACGGTGGTTATGGTGTCTGCTGGAGTGCTGGAAACCCTCAGGAAGCGCTAGGAGCATCCTTCAACGGAGGTACCCAGTTGAGGTACCAGGTGATCCGTTACACACTATATAGGCAGATTCTGGGGGTGTTTTTTCTGCAAACCGCTCGGTAGTGAAGGTGTTAAACCAAAGGCTCCCTCTCTAGGTGAAAGCGACAAACATGAGAGGTAGTCTCCTTCTTATTTTTTTTTCTAAATATTTTTGTATTCGATTTTCATCAGAAGAAAAGGTACAGCATTGGGACTTGCAGGTCCCTCAAGATTTAACATATAGTCTAAGCAGGAGTATAGTGATTGTTATTTGGAGACTCGCAGGACTCAGTATGCTGTTGAATAAAACATAAAGGGACTTGCAGGTCCCACGAAACATAAATTTTGTTTAAATACAGGTAGCAGGTAACACACAGTTACTGCCCTAAAGGCCCCCACAAAGTCAGATGAAGTTGGATCTCGCCATTTTGTGGAAAATTTTGACACCTGCAGGTCACTGGTACATATCCTGGATTTTGCATACCTAAGGGTGACTAGATACAAAGTCAAGATTTGATTAGTTGGGACTATGTTCTTTGTGTGGCAGACTTACTATGTATGTTTAATGTAAGAAACAGTTTGACAAGGCAAGATAACATTGAAACCATTATTCTCATTATGCACACACAGAGCAACAATAATAATGTAGGTAGACTGAAATGGTCTGTATGTCAGACGCTTCTCTTACCACTCACGTACATGTATTCAATTGTTTAATGAATATTTTATACTTTTAATCACTCACTGGTGTATGCTTATATTGCTGAGTAGGAGAACTGGTAATATTATAGTCACTGATCCCAATATCAGGGAAGCCTATTTACATGGCTTTATAGGCAATATGGACCTTCTTTCTAAGAAACCATGAAAGATATTCTTCCAGCCCTGGAGAATACATACATGTAGCAGCATTCTATGTCTTGTTCTATACCCTCCCAAAGTAGTCAAATCCAAAGAACAATTAAATGATGCTGCACATTTGGTGTACTTTCATTGTCCACAAGATGCCTCATCAGCCCATGAAGTCAAACCATGTTGGGGGTAGATCTCCCTTTGGCAGTGCCACAATGTTTGGATTAGGTACAACCCAGTATCCAACCTAGGTCAGAGCAACTAACAAAGTGCATAAAAAAAACCAGTAAGTCAGATGGAGATACCAGACCTTGGAGTGGCCATTCAAGAGGTGAAACACAGAATGCAAAAAATGGACAAAAATTGTAGAAAGTCTATGATTACAGAGAAACTTATATATAAGGGTAATGCCAGCCAAAAATCCATATTATCTATATTGGAATAGTTTAACATAGACAGGGCAAGGATAGTCACTCAAAGCCAAATGAACTAAAACCAGAGACAGAATGAAGAATGAAGGGTCTCAATAACCACAAATGGGGTGTAGGGATAATTGTGGAACAAACTATTTTTTACTTTGAATTTGAAATTCTCTTTAAATTCGCACTGTAAGTAATAACGTTGATATAGAACGTACTGTGGCTGGAGTTAGGTGTCAATTTAGCCCTGCCAGAAAACACAAATGTACATGTTTGCCAGCATTTCACTTGGCCAAATTGGTGTGGTATGGACTCACTATAACAGAGATACATACTACAGAGATGCGCATAGCATTCACTGTTGACTGTAAGGAAAAATGTCTGAGAATGTGCCAAATAAGCAGCATGGGACTTGGAAATGGATATATAATGCAATACAGTGGAACCTCGGAACTCGAACTTAATCCATTCCAGAAGGCTGTTCGAGTTCCGATTTGTTTGAGAACCGAATCAACATTTACATTAGAATTTATGTATATTTGATTAATCTGTTGCAGACCCCCAAAATTACAGCATTTTAACACAAATTATATAGAATAATAATGCCTTACATGAATAAAACATATAGGAAAATAATAATAAACACAATGTACAGTAAATGAATTGAAAATGTAACTTTACTTTACCTGTAATGATGAAAGATTTTGGCGTAAGTGAAAAGGAGAAGAGATATTATTGTTTGAATGGGGATAGGCAAGTGTTCTTCTGGCATTTAAAATGGGTCTAAAGTGTGTCTAATTGAACATGTTTGTAGCATGATTTGTTCCGGTACCAAAGATCGTTTGCGTACCGAGACATTTTTTTACTCCAAATTTTTGTTTGATTTCTGAATTGTTCGATAACAGGACCGTTCGAGTTCCGAGTTTCCACTGTACTGATTATCATGTGTGTGTGTGTATATACAACATTTTTTGTATTCTTTAGACTTTTCATGGGGAACACTTGTATGTATACAGTATAAGTTTGTTTGTATTCCTGTTATAACCAAGGACATTAGCAGTGATAAAGGGCTCTCTGCCCGAAAAGTCTGCATTTTGTATTTTGTCCTTCCAATAAATATGGTAGCACCCTTATTTCTTGAAATAGAATATATATTTATTTTAAAGCTATATAAAATTAAATATTGCAATTTGCAAGATTAGGGGGGGATGAATATATTGCTAAATGTGTGATGATATTTGCATAAACCCTCACACACTTCCTTAAGTAATTGTTATCATTTTACAGGTTTACCTGTGCAGAATGAAGGAGTCAGATGTGGAACAGGTGAAAGTTCAGTAAACTGTGTTGAAGAAGGGCCCTCTAACGACATATCTTCAGAAAATGTCAACAATATTTTCTCATCAAGGTAAAAACCATAAGTCATATATATGAATATATTATGTAGGACCTGTATTTTCAGGCCTCCAACTGTACCCACAAACATGCCTCTATATATACCTCACCATTTCATTTCGGGATATTGGACTAAATGCATAACTAGGACCACACCATTCCATTTACAGACCAGTTGTTCTTAATGAGAGGAGCCATACCAATCCATTTTGGTCTAGTCTGGATATAATGTGTGAGTAGGACTATACCACAAAATTCAGAGTCTGGTATGAAATTACGACATTAACAGGACCATATTATTCCATTTAGGATCTAGAAGAACTTAATATATGACACGGACTATACCATTCTTTTGCCAGCTTCTTGTAGGAGGCTTAATAGCCACATATAGTCATGAGAACCACTACGGCTTAATATAGTGGTTCTGGGGCATTTGCCTATTCCGTGGGGGGACTGCAGTGTAAATGTTGCCTTTTCTGCAGCCTACTCCAACACTAATGGCTAGCACTTGAACAGCCACTTGAGGGACTTCCTAGATGATTTCCTTCATTTTTTGAAGGACTTTTTGCAGGACTTATGTTCAACTTCTCCCATCTCTGCATGGAGATGCTGAACACTCCCCACAGGAATGAATAGCGAAGCATTCCATTGGGTTGGCAATAGGGAAGCGTTGGATTGACTGAGATCATTGAGATTGATGATTTCAACCAAGGAGTCAGAACTGGCAGATTGGAGACCAGGGCACTGCAGAATATATGATGAATAAAATCCTTTTCTTAACCCTTTCTGGCAGCTCTATAATCTAACTGGTGAGGAGGACACTTTAGTATTTGGAATACATTTTTTTAAAGGTATAGTGTTTTGTTTTTTGTTTTTTAATTCTTTATTTTTGTAGTGCATAAGCTTTGAACAGATGCATGTGAGGTACCCCAAAGGCAATCTTCCAGCAGTTAACAAACAGTTGAACACAGAGGTACATGGTAGATCAAGCACATTTTTATATATGAATAGGATGGGTGCTAAACAACATAGGTTTTTGTCGCTTAAGGGGGCGTGTATTCTCATAACACAACGCAACAGCGCTTTACCATCCAGCTGTGATATTATTATGCTGTGTCAAGAGACAGTGTGTGCCTGCAAGCTAGGTTTAGAGTTATGGGTGAGTTTACGACAGTTTCAGGTACATGTCAATAAATTATGTGCTGCAGGGTTGAGACGTGTAGTGCTATGTGCTCGCTGATTCCATGCTACTGTCAGGTAAGTGCCTATATCCTATTATACATTGCAGCTTTATAGTTTTTACCTAGTTTACCATCTGCCTCACTATGCTTATCGGATCATGCTTACATAGTTTGAGTTGCAAATGTATTATAAGTCTGCGTTGTTAAGACCTGGTTGGTCTCTGGTCACCTTGAGCTACCAGCGTTAGCGGGTTGGTCAGTAATTGCGTATTTATGCGTTGCATGGCTGGAGCTCTGAGAATATGCGACCGGCCATCTTGGCTGTCAGGCCCCGCCCCCTATAGTGTTTTTTTAATGCATGATATGGGCCATACCATTCCATTTAGTGTCAAGTATGGACCTAATGCACAGCTTGGACCATAACATCCCATTTTAAAGATCTTGTATAGGGCTTAAAGGCTGATTGTCTATTAAAGAAATAGAATCTGTGTGTTTGTTTTTGTTTAGATCATCTATTTTGTTTACCAAAGTATATTGAAACGTTTGATAAAATTTCTTCCCTACCACTTTCAAACTCCATCTTGCTGATCCATGTGCCGTCTTAATCAGCTATCTTGATTGAATTCTGCCCATCTCTAGATCCTGCGCAGGGCAGTGATGTAATCAGTCATAGCCCTGTGTTCTCAGCAGGCTAGATTGCCAGAACCAATTAAATTTGTCTTTATATGTTTTAGAACTTACTCAATCACATCATATATGGGCTGTTACCTAGTCGTCTTCTTTGGCCTTACTTTTTTCTAAAAATCTTCAAAATTGATTAATAATAATTTGATGCCGTTTTCTCATTACACAATGAATTGTGTTCAATTGAAAATGGAAAATTTGCACCTTAGCTGCCTATTTGGAAAAATAAATAAATCTCCAACTCATCTATATATTTACATATATTTTAGCCTGAATTATGCCCTTCTGTTTTCATCTCACCATTATTCAATATTTAAAGAATAAACATTAATGTGCTTTACGAAATGAAGAGTGGAGGGAGTGTAGTCAAACTTACTTACTGGGAGAAGCACAATGTAATTTACCTATGATTTGCTTCTAATTGGGTATTCCATGACTTTGCACAATTTAGCACATAGTAATGCTCCACAAATTCATATGTGTGCGTTTAATGCTAGAGTGTCCCTAGTGCTGTTTAGGTTAATTACTGCCTCCACCCCCGCCGGACCTCAAAATAAAAATAGTTAAATCTTTCATTCAGCAGCATCTTACTTGGAAACCAGAGTAATCCAGATTTCCTGGTTAAATACTTTGTTATTATTATCTTGGTCTCCTCCTTTTTGTGAGGACATCTAGATGGATGATCTCCAGAAATCAAAGGCTTCTCCATAGAGAATCATAGAGGGTTCTACTGTGGAATAAATGGGGAGCTTTAACTACTTTTAGCATCACTGAAAGCAAAGACTGTAAATATTGGAAATATATATTAGGGAGCACTCTCTACACTAAACTAATATATATATATATTTCTTGGATTTTTGTTCAACTATTTTTTTTTTTATATGGAATGTTTTTGGACTATATCCACCAAATAATGTTGGCTAAACACAAAGATAAATACGTTCTATTTTTATGAGTTGTGAATGAATGTATACTGCATGTTTCATGGACGTAAAGTTTTAACAGCTAATATTCCTTGATTGGTAAATGTTTAGAATGAGAAGATCCGTGTCAATCTCAGAGATGGATACATATTCTGTTGAAGAATCTGGGTCAGGGACTGATACATCATCAGGTGTGGAGTCTTCTTCTGAGGAAAAGTCTGGTTCTGGATACGATCGTTCTGGTGAAGATAATGGTTCTGGATACGACTCATCAATGCCTGAAGAATATGTTACCGAAAATGAATTTGTTTCAGAAGACTCTGTATATAAGATTAGGGATCAAGATGAAAACTTCAACGCTGAAGTGGAAGAGGAAGACTTCATTCTCTAAAGGCATCAATCTTTTATAAATTAACTTCTGAAATAATTGTCTTTGTATGTATCGCTGTAGCATCTGCTTTTATATTCCTAGCTGGAGAATGAAAACGTAAGGTGCTCAAGAGAATTTAGCTTATTTTATTTGTGAAGCAATATGTCATTTTGTGCTTTATTTATCATTTTGTCTTTTTTTTTAAATCTAGCAATGCATTATAGCTTGAGCCAAACAAAGCAAAATATTTCATTGAATTTCAAAATGTATAATTTGATGTGAAAATACACCAGCAAAATTACATTCAAAATATTGGAAAGCTAATGCTTTAATAAAAAATAAAATGTAAAAAAAAGTAAATTTATATATATGTGTCTGCTATAAGTGGTTACAAATGTTGCATGCTTGGGTGAGAGGTGGGTTGACTCTTATTTGATCTAATAATTCTTATTTGGATCCACAGGATAGACCATGCGACATTATGTAGGCCTCAAGGTAATTCTTTTAGATAAGCGTTTCAAATTATCACAATCTGTAAAAAAAAAAAACAACAATCTTTTCAAATGATTTATATATAAAAGTCAACATTACGGTCTGGGGATTTTTGTATATAAATCATTTGAAAACTTTTTTTCGAATGAATCGTGATCATTTGAAAAGCTTATCCAAAATAATTAAATTGAGGCCTATCTCCGCTCTCTCCAGCTGAGTGATATAACATCAGAAGTACATTACTCCTTTCACAAAATGTAGAAGCCATTTAGCGCATAATAACTTTCAGATCGTAAGGAAATGAAAGTTAAATGCCCAAGTTTTAAAGGGGAATTGCCACGTCTCTAGAATTCGCACAATGAATACAATAGTTAAAATCCCCTATAGATTGTGTTTACCTATTTTCATGAGATGCTCTGCTTTATTATAAATTTATATTAACGGCTTAGTAAATTACATCTAAATCCAGTTCAGACAAGGCAAAGCCAGAACATACATTGCACATAAGGATGAGTAATAAAAATATTTTTAAATTTCTTCTGTGTATATGTTTATTCTGTCTGTTAGGTACAAAGGACCGAGGTTATAATGACAAGAAGCTAAGATGAAATCATACCTCCCAGATGTCCCTATTTTGGCCCAAATCTGTCTATCTCCCTTTTCTACACTAATGCCCCTCTTTTCTAGGAGCTCCATAACCGTTGATGTGTCTGAGTGTATAACAAAGCTCCAAAGCAATCATACGCACAATAATGTGTCTTTCAATAACTGTGATTAGAAATCAGTCTGTGTAAATAAGATACATTTCTTTCTTACAAAAACATATTTGTTAAATAAAAGGTAAATTAAACATAGCATTATAAATCTTTACCCATAATACGCAGAATGCACAATGACAAGCTCACATGCGATTTTTTTTTCAGAAAGGAAATCTTAACAAATTGCATCATGAAGTCCATGGCGCTATCAAACCAAGTACATGGGCTACAAGATAAGAAGAATGAACTAGTGCAATTGTTAAAGGACCACTATAGTGCCAGGAAAACATACTCGTTTTCCTGGCACTATAGTGCCCTGAGGGTGCCCCCACCCTCAGGGACCCCCTCCCGCCCGGCTCTGGATAGGGGTTTAAACTTACCTTTTTCCAGCGCTGGGCGGGGAGCTCTCCTCCTCCGATCCTCCTCCGTTCCTCCTCCTGGGCTGAATGCGCACGGGCGGCAAGAGCTGCGCGCAAATTCAGCGGGTCACATAGGAAAGCATTCATAATGCTTTCCTATGGACGCTGGCGTGCGCTCACTGTGAAAATCACAGTGAGAAGCACGCAAGCGCCTCTAGTGGCTGACAATGAGACAGCCACTAGAGGAAATAGGGGAAGGCTTAACCCATTCATAAACATAGCAGTTTCTCTGAAACTTCTATGTTTATGAAAAAATGGGTTAAACCTAGCTGGACCTGGCACCCAGACCACTTCATTAAGCTGAAGTGGTCTGGGTGCCTAGAGTGGTCCTTTAAATCTATTGTTAAGAAAACAAATGTATGTCAAGAAAAACACATTTATGCAAATGCAGTTATCAGATAAGGAAGGACCCAAGAAGCCAAGAAATTGAGAATGAGCAAGAGAGATGCAAGCTGAGATTGGGAAAACGTCCCATGAGAAATTTATATAAAGAGGGAAAAACAGGGGATAAGAAAGCTGAAAAACCTTTATGAGATCCTGTTTAGAGTTTGCAGACAGATATGTAGAAGATGCCGAACATTTGCGGAAAAGGTGCCATCACACAATAATTTAACACACAAAATGCCGTGTGTGGTGGGAAGCTAACGATGCTCATCGTTCTTGATGATTTAGTTTGATGGTGGCATCTTATTGTGATCATCAGGCAAGGTTTTGAAACTAGTCAGGATTGAGGGATTGGAGCAAAGGCAGGAGAATTTTAGATGAAAACTCTGTCTGCAAGATAGAAAAAAACAAATCCACTGTAAATCAGTATACTGTGCATAAATAAAATGTAGTACCAATTGTGGCGTGTACCTTATTTATAGAGAGACGCATTCACAGGTTACACTACTGCTTAGAAGTTAATGAGAGAAAAAAACATACTTCCAAAAAAGAACGCCTCAATCCACTTGCATAAGCAAATGAATTACACCTTTATTCAGGTACATGACACGGCTATTACACACAGGGGGAGCACTGGATCTAACGCGTTTTGTACCTTAACGAAACTTCACCAGATACAGTGGATCCATGGTGAATCCACATTCTCTGATGAGGTGCGTTTATGGTGGTTCCTGAGTACCAGTTTGGAAATGCCATGCTGTAGGTAGTGCCTTAGTAAACATGAAAATGTGTCTGTGGATTAAGCAAGTCTCTGCAGAATTGTCTTTTTTTCGTTCACCAGGTTAATTTAAGTTGATGAACCATGAAATAGAACTGAAACTGTTTCTGTGATTTCCTCGATGTGATTGTTGAGATAACATATGCACTTGCGGTTTCTGATGTTATATTTTATTTAGTGTTGCTTCGTTGAGCAGCTTGCAGAAGTATAAACAATACATACAATCACGCTAATTTAAACAGGGAATTTTCCTGAAAAGAAACAGACCGAAACAAGATCGAAAACCGCATTGTGCCATAAACGTGTACAGTATACTGCCGAACCCATTGCTTTAATGATGTAGTAATGTGGGTTATAACAGAGTATCCAATGCACTAGGTAAATTGGGACATAGGGTGCTAATCTTCAAGATGCGGTGGACTGTAAATTCTATCACCTGTACAGGGGTGTCCACAGAAGATTTTCGGACGGAGAGGACATTATCTGAATTAACACTGTCACTCTTACATGGTTATATACTAAAGTCAGAATTCAAATTTAAAATTGTATACCAAAATAGCCAAACTCGCTGCATAGTTACTTGGAGAGATTCCCAATTCATCTACTTTGGCCTTGATGTGAAAATTCCCCAAAATTCTCACTTTAGTATATAACCTTGTAATAATGCTTGGAGAGAGTGCCATTGAGTAATAGTTGGGCAGGCCAATTGTTTTTTTTTAGGCTTGCTGATGGCAAGTGGCAGGACTGCCTTAGTGGGGGGAATCAGAGCTGGCAGTGAGAGGTTTGCATCTCTGGCGATGGAGAAGCCGCCAGATGTTCCCAGCTTGCACTCTGACACACTGAGTGCCAAACTACGAGGGCGGGTTAATGAGGTCTGCATCCGTTGCTAGTGGCCCACTAGACCACCAGGCAGAGTTAGGCCCTGCTGGACCACCAGAGATCATAACCTCTCTTCTTTGATGAAACCCAAGTCGATGGTGGCTACTCAGTGCATGACCACACGCATTATATACTGCACCACACACACACATCACATAGAGCTTGCAAACACCATACATACACATTACATACTCCTAGTTCTTTCTACACACATCACATACAGCCAGCACACACCATGCACATACACACAGCTTATATTTTTGAGCTGATTTTATGGTAAAGTTATATAAAAGATGGGTTACAGATGTTTGGACCGGGCTGTGAAGGGTGCTATTTCTGTGCTTGCCGTAGGTGCTATATTCAGTAGATACACCTATGATGCCAGCATTTAAATCAAAGGAAGGGCAGTATCCCATTAAGGTTAGGGGGTGGGGGGACAATAGCTGCATATTGCCCTATGGTGACGACATCTATGGTTGTGTCATTTCAGCACCTCTCAAAACACCCATTTAAAAAGTAATGTCACTGGGGACATATAAAAAAAAAAAAAAAAAAAGCTTATCCAGAGATTAAATCTTCAGGTAACAGGGATGTATCAGGTTCCCTGGAATAATCAGGACTTTGCTAAATCTTGCCCATTGAGACCCGTGCCGGTTTACCATCTATCCTGTTTCTGCATGGGACATCTGTGTCATTGGTTCCACAGGTAACTTACCAAAATACACCCCCTCACCCACAATAAGAACAAAGCGGAAGGAGATATCTGTGTAATACAGAGAGCATATTTTTCATGTGGAACAAGTGACACACAAAACCACATTATATATATATATATATATAAAGATGAGTCAGTTTTATTCACACAATACATTTCTCTCCAGTTCTTGAAATCTGGTCAAATTCATATAGATGAGTGAGATTTGTATCATCCTGAAATTGAACTGTATTTAAACATAGAAAGGAGATAAGGAATACGGAAAGGGATGACAGAAATAGCTAGCGCTTCATAATGGCCCAATACAATGATTGAAATATTGTTTGTTTTTTAAGATTTTCTGGATAAAAAAAACTCTCACTGAGTGTATTTGGGATTCTGATTAATGTAACCATGTGTGTAGCTAACAAAATTGAATAAGACTATTTAAAAAAAAAAAAAAAATTATAAACACCACTGGATATAATACTCCCTACTCAAAATCTACCTGCTTTGGTTTTATTGGGGGAGATTTATCAAGGCAAAACAGATGGCATTTTGGGTAAAAATTCCAAAAGGCTCAGACAATCTATTGGTTTTTATAGCGATTAATCATTATTTTGCACTTTGTCCCAGAATAGCACCTGTTTTAGCATTGATAAATCTCCCCCCATTATATTTAAAATCTCCAAACTATGGGGTAAATCTATCAAGTCTAAACAAGAGCTATTGTAGGACAAAATGCTAACTATGGAGCAATCGCCACAGAAACAATGGAATGCCTCAACAATTAGCATTTTTTGCACTCAATATAGCACCTGTCGTGGCATGATAAATCTCTCCCCTATGTATCCACAACTTCCAAGGTATGGAGATGTTATTCTATGAGATTCCTTCATGCTGCGGAATATTTTTGGCATGTTGGTGCTTGATAAATAAATGTATATTGTAGGAACTATTATTATAACACATTTATTATCAGTAAGTCCTTACATATGCTTGACACAGTAAACAGGAACTAGAGATGTTTATTTGACTCGTGTTGAAACGCGTATGTGTTGATACATTTTTCAGGAAGTGGTAGTTATTGTAATTATTAGTCAAACCTAACACGCTTAGAGTCATATTACATTAAAAGAACACACATTTCTATTTTACCCTAAAGTGACATTCTAGGCACCAAAACAACTTTGACTTAAAGGAACACTATACTGTTAGGAATACAAACATACTCCTGACACTATAGTTCTGAAGTGGCTGTTTAGGTGACTGTCCCTCTCTTTTTGCAGTAAAAATGTGATTTTACTCACCTTTTCTCCGACATCGCACCAGCCTTGCATGGCTGGCCCTGCCTGACTCTGCCCTCATTGCTTAGATCATTAATCTTCATGAGATCATAGGAAAACATTGGAAATATTGTGCATGTTTGTCAAAATTCCTTGCTGCGCCAATCATCATCTCCTCATAGAGGTGTATTGAATCTCACTAACACTGAAAATAAATGGTTCAATTTCAATCATTTTCAGCACAGTGTATTTACTTCAGAAGTTCATATCTTTTGCTCTGTTAATTGAACTTTAATCACACACAAGAGGCTCCTGCAAGCTCTAGCAGCTCTAAAAGTGGTAGTTGTTGTAATTATTAGTAAAACCTAACACGCTTAGAGTCATATTATATTAAGAGAAGAAACACACATTTCTATTTTACCCTAAAGTGGCATTTTAGGCAGCAAAACAACTTTGACGTAAAGGAACAGTATACTGTTAGGAATACAAACGTACTCCTGACACTAAAGTTCTGAAGTGGCTGTTTAGGTGACTGTCCCTCTCTTTTTGCAGTAAAAAGGTGATTTTACTCA